ATGAGGATGTGCATATTATGGAATTAGGCTATGAATTCACACTTTAAAGGCTTAATTTTGTAAATTTGGGGCTGTTGTTTCATAGAGATGTAAACCGTAAGAGAACAGATTAAAATTTCCATTTGGCTTTTAAAACAAGAAATCATAATTTAACAAAATGTCAAATTACTACTGGATTCTGAGCTTAACAAGAGAAAAGTACAGAGAATGCATTTGTTAAGAACAGATTTCACTACAGCTGATCTTAAGTGATCAGTCACAGGCTTTGCCAATTTAAAACAGCATTTATGGAACATTATTTGAAGAAAATTAAAAAGTAAGGCTAAAAAATGTAAATCAAAATACTTGAAAAAAAAAAGTAATGACAGCCAAAGTCTGTCTCAGATATTGTACATTTTTCAATGGGAATCTCTAAAATTATCCTAGATATCATTAAGTTACTAATTCCTCAGAAATATATAGCCATTGACGATGGCAGCTACCAACCATTTGCACAGTTGTAGTGACTAAATAACTCATGTTTAAACATGTAAAGCATGAACTTTCAAATACTATGTCATGTAGATAACAACAGTAACTTGCATTTATATCGTACCTCGAACTGCTAACCACTGCCTATGGTGAAACATTACAAGGCAAGTCATGTTAGACAATTGGTAAATGCATGATCAAAGGTGAAGTGGAAGACACCAGAGGTTGCATGCCATTAACTAGTTAGATCAATGCCCAACAACTGTAATCAATTATCAAACCACAAAAGTACCACAATATTACATAAAAGTTGGCTTGTCCAAGGAAATTAGGACTAATATCCAACCCATCTGAATCTGAAATCTCCACAGAATGCTTTTTCTGTACCAAACTGTACCAATCCTCTTGCGTTGGATATAGATAACATGTATACAATGAATAGCTTGATCTCAGAACAAGCTTTCTTCACTCCTGATCAAGCAGAATTCATGACAACTGAAATTTATCAGGAAATACTTTAACCTTCTAAAATTTGATTTTTAAACTTGCATTTCATAAAGTTTCATCTATAATGAGGGCACTCACAGAAAAGAAAGGATATAGCAGGGAAACTCATTAGACAATCTCACCATTTCCCCAGGAGAGCCCTGCACTTCCTATACACTTTCTTTTGATTTCAGTCTTGGTTCCAATCCATCTGCCTGAAATAGTTTTTAAGGTCAAACAAATGGAATACCAATGAAAGAAAAGAGTTGCATATGAATTTGATTTATTATAAAATAAGTCCTAGAAGCAGGAATGTGAGGAATGGATGAATATTTAGCCATAACTCACTGGCCCACTGAACCTTGTTGAGGGACACAGCTTGTGTGTTGAGACTTTATTTGGATAATTATCTTGTTAAAAGCCAGAAGGCGTCATGCAGTTCAGCAAGTAACCTGGTCCATGGCATTCAACACAAGCTATCAGCATTAACTGTTGGGCTGTTAGTTATAACTTCATTAAATTACCAGTCTTCCAGATGAGTGCAAAATCTAGAAATAAGTTTATCAAGTTTAAATTGTTGAAGAAATTATATATCAAATGAAATAAAAAGGGTAACAGATTTCAGCCCATATTACACGACAATGATACGCCAATGAAGTGAATCAGTCCTTCAGTATTCGACAATTGCAACTTTTAAGACTGAGATGGATTGATTACTGTTAGCTAACAGTATCACAGTGTATATTCTCCATGTTTAGAAAAAAGGAATGATCAGATTTCAGAAAAGGTAGGAAGGATGAAGCATTTGTAATTGCATTTTCAAAAAGAATATCACTCTGCTGAAGGGTATACTCTCAAATTATTGTGATTTATTTCCAGATGCTGATGGACTTGGCACTTACTGGATTTCCAGTTCCTACTTGGAGAAAAATGACGAAGGTATTTGGCTTTCTTGCATTGTTCTTAGGAGGAGTAATGTTGTAATGCTAATAATTATGTCCATTTGTTAATATTTTTTGACTTGTATGCTGTATCTGCCTGTGTTAAAAATGAAAAGTGTGAGTTTGGAATTGTGACCACAGTCTAAAGTTAAGGAGTTCTATGCGTCTTTTGGAAAGAGGAATAAAGACTTTTTTAAAATTGTGCTTAAGCACTGACAGGAACAGTTTGAAATTGTTAATATGTTTTTGACTGCATCACCCATATAAATTACAATAGTATTTCAAAACTGTATTCCAAATGTAGATGAATATTTTGTTGGTCCCTGAACATACGTTTTCATTCTTCTTGTCTTAGCCAGCATTAACCTCTCGACTGATGTCACTAAATTAGACTAAATGGTCATTTATCTCATTGCTGCTTGAGGTCTTGTTATATGCAAGTTGGCTTCTAGTTTCTCTTATAATACAATAAGTCCACTTCAAAAATACCCCATTGGCTGCAAAGGATCTTGGGATTTTCTGAGATAGTGAAAACACTAAATAAACACAAGTTAGTATTTCTCTTACACCCTTGAACAAAATTTTATCAGTACCAATTCAAAATGGCAGGCTGCTTATAATTTTGTTCAGTCTCTATAACCCTGCATATGTGACGATTAGATACTGTGAAAATATACATATGATTATAATAATAGGACAGTAATAATCATACAAAATAAAACCATATACTTCATTTAAAATCTCTCCTGTTTTCTAAATGGATGTCAATTATTTCATGAATTATCCAAATGTCACATGGTCACCAACAAAGAATTATTGAAGCATTACAAAAATAGCAGTAAACTAGAAAAGTTCACAATACTTTTTTCTTAAAAACACACCATTAGTACTCCAACCAAGGGAAAAATATTCAGTTCTTCACTTCTAAGGGAAAATAACTTTCAGACACACAAATAAATTTTGTTCTGAGAGTCTGAACATCACTTTCTATTTTGAAAGAAAAATAAAAGCATTTTTTTCAATGAAACATGAAGCATTGTTAGGAGAATTCACTTGTATGTATTACTCAGTTAGTTTGAGAGAGTTAAATTAGTATGTACAATTCAAATAATATATTATGGCTAAGATACTAAGATTGCTGCATCTCAGTTTCTTCATTTCTCCAAGCCAGTTTCCCCTCAAAAAAGAAGCAATTAGCACTTACTATTAAAAATAAACACATCAAAAAAAACTAAAAGATATCAAAGGTTTCAAAGTAGATTTGTAGCACGGGTTGTGGATGTTGCGGTTGGTTGGCTCACCGAGCTGGTTCGTTGTTCCGCAGACGTTTCATTACCCTGCGGAAAGCGCTTCATTGGAGGCTGCACTGATGATGTTACCCAACGACAACATCCACAACCTGAGCTACAAATCTACTCTAAAACCTGAGAGACCTATGGCCAAAGCATGCTCAAACAGGCACGAAAATGGGAAAACTGCGCCAAACGACAGAGCACTATCCCCAAACAACTCTACTTCCTACATGGATGCTTCAGAAACCAGGTATTACTATGCAGTGTGAGATACAAACCCCACATCAACAACCCACAAGCTCGTAGGACAGCAGAATACAATGGCTGCAGGATGGTAAAGGCAATGATCAGCGACGCACACAACCGGCTCCACAGATATGACAGAGAAATTACGCGACAAAGAACTTTATTCCTAGAAGCTGCCAACCAAGACTGGACAACGGACCAACAACAAGCCATCAACATCAGTCAGCAGACCACAAGAGCCAGGAAAAGATAGATCCTTCTGGAAAAACTAACCCACCAAAATGACAACAGCAGAATAGACACCTGGATAAGAAACCTTTCAGACAGGAAACTGACAGACACAGAGAAAGCTGTTCTAATTCGTAGATTCAACTACAACCACAGAGACTCCAAAAAGACAGAATTCCTCGCCAGAGATAGTAGGAACTGCAGATGCTGGAGAATCCGAGACAACAAGGTGCAGGGCTGGATGAACACAGCAGGCCAAGCAGCATCATA